TTACACTGTTATATTTATTTATAGTTATATTTACAATGTTATTGGTGTTTATAGTTTTTAATGTCCTTTCAAAATACATTTATAATATTTACTTCATATTGATAAATGAAACTGAAAAAATATATTTGCACCACTATGTGTGGGTTTCGAGAGAGACCAGAATCCCGAGTTGTCCAATGTATATCAGTGTGGCTTTTAAATGAACCCTGGGTTATCCAATGTATATCAATGTGGCTTTTAAATGAACCCTGGGTTGTGCAGTGAATCAGTGGCTTTTACATGAACCCTGGGTTGTCCAGTATATTAGTGTGGCTTTAAAATGAACCCTGGGTTGTCCAGTATATTAGTGTGGCTTTTAAATGAACCCTGGGTTATCCAATGTATATCAATGTGGCTTTTAAATGAACCCTGAGTTGTGCAGTGTATCAGTGGCTTTTAAATGAACCCTGGGTTGTCCAGTGTAACAGTGTGGCTTTTAAATGAACCCTGGGTTGTCCAGTGTAACAGTGTGGCTTTTACATGAACCCTGGGTTGTCCAGTGTATCAGTGTGGCTTTTACATGAACCTTGGGTTGTCCACCCCTCATCTATGTAAAAGTCAAAATAAAACATGACACATTCTAGAACCATTATTTACTTTTTATTTTCATATTTTATTGACGGCAATTCATCCCCCTCATTTGTTCGAGAAGCCTCTAGTTCTTACCTCCACCACTAGAAGTTGTAGTATCACTGGATAGGCTAGGGCTGTTATAGCTGCCACATTTAAAACATTCAAGTTCCCCTCCAAACGAGTAATTCACTTTGTTACCGACAACCAATCCCAGAAGCTGAGACACAGACATTGGAGATTCCATAAAGGAGCCAGCAGACTCACCGGTAGGAGTTAAAGTGTTGAAATACTCTGCAGCCTCGGCAGCCACTTCTGTATCTTCTACTAGAGAATTGATAACATTTATATTGATTACCTGTCCACCATATAAAAGAAAGGTTACTTTGTAACGTGGTAACAATATTCTGTGAGAATAAAATCCACCTCTGACAAACAGTTTCATTCACAGACGTTACTTTTACTTGAAATGTTTTCTAGGACCAACCATGAGAAAACAAGATTCCCAGGGTTAATGAAAGAAGTCAGTAAAGGCACCACAGTTTGAAAGAATTAGGTTAAAATAATATATAACTACATTAATGTAACATGTACACGTTTTACATAATTTGGTTAATTTTGTATCACTGTTATTTTTTTTTAACAAAAATACAACTTGTGATATATAGTTTGAATAAACAAAGTTTTGTTTCAATAACGTTTTTACTTTCTACTATGTTAAAACATCTTAATTCTGAGGTTAGCGTTAAATACAGAGTATTATATGCATCTTAAAATATTTAAAGTATAGGGGAAAAAATAAGCTTATGAAAGCAGTTATCGAATTATCCCCTTTTAGATTACATCTCTTGAAGAATTAACATGGTATATGAAACAAAAGTATATCAATAAACATATAACGTTTTTTGTACACAAAATACTCACCAGATGGATGTTCAGTTTCTACTTCAACATCTTTGTTAAGCAAATGGCAAGCATACAATAATTTCAGTCGGTATTCCAAGCCAGCACGACATAAAATTCCAAGTCCTAATGCCAGTTCTTTGAAGTTGATCATATTGTCCTCATTTAAGTCGAGAAGCTGAGTGAAGAGAAGAATGATGATCGAAAGAGCATTTTATATCATATATCCTCTAATATGAGAATTGTCTCATTTGTTTGCTAAATCTCCTCTCTTCTTTTAATTTATTTACCACCCCTCCCAGAAGTACAGAATTTAACATAAACTACTCATATTGTCCTCATTTAAGTCGAGAAGCTGAGAGAAGAGAAGAATGATGATCGAAAGAGCATTTTATATCATATATCCTCTAATATGAGAATTGTCTCATTTGTTTGCTAAATCTCCTCCCTTCTTTTAATTTATTTACCACCCCTCCCAGAAGTACAGAATTTAACATAAACTACTCATATTGTCCTCATTTAAGTCGAGAAGCTGAGAGGAGAGAAGAGAAGAATGATGATCGAAAGAGCATTTTATATCATATATCCTCTAATATGAGAATTGTCT